CAGCGCTTGTGGGTGCATCCCATCAGGGCCCATGGACTTAGGTATGTCCAGTTTGCTTAAAGTATCCCCCGACCTGATCCTCTTCCACCAAAGGTACATCTTCCTTGGTCCAGCCTTTCCCCCTGATCTCTGGGACCTGGGATTCCTGAAGGCCGGTCTTGCTAGTAATGAGGCAAAGGCAGCACTCAGTAACTCAGCCTTTTCCATGTCCTGTGTCACCAGGTCACCTGTCTCATTTAGCAATGGGCCCACATTGTCCCTAGTCTTCCTTTTGTCACCTGTGTACTGACAGAAGCTATTCTTGTTGTCTTTGACTTCCCTGGCTAGATCCAGTTCTAATTGGGCTTCATAACTTCATCTCTATATGCTTGAACAATGTCTCTGTGTTCCTCCCAGGTTACCCATCCTGCAGCCACCTCAGCCCTGGCGACACGCACTGCAGCTGAACCAGAGAACCAATGCGTGCCAGTATCAGTCGCCCCTGTACAGAAGAAGAAATACTCAAAAACCCAGCTTGCTTAACAAAAGATGACAGTGAACAAGGGACATCATAAGAACAAGAGGAAGAGGCAGAACCAGAGGTAATCACTCAATCCCTATCCCTGAGTGAACTGTGAGATATGTGAAAAGACTTCAGCTATCATGCAGGTGAGCATGTTATCACCTGGCTGTTCTGATGGTGGGATAACAGACCCAGCAACCTGGAATTAGAGGGTAGGAAAGCCCCAAGCAGCTGGGATCCCTTTCTAGGGAAGGGGGCACTGACAAAGCGATTGGAAAAAAGACATAAGCCCTCAGCCTCTGGAGGTGACTTCTGTCAGGCATGAGGGAAAAGTATCCCTTCAAGGAAGATATTGTATGTCATCCAAGCAAGTGGATGGACTACCATGGAGAAATTTATCCAGTACCTGAGGGAATTAGCCATGTGAGAGATGGTTTATTATGACCCAGACAATGCACAGTTACCCACAGATCCGGAGGAATCCACTGCACAGGACCCAAGTGGCAGAAGTTTACACGGAGCGCACCATTGTCGTATGCCAACTCATTGGCAGTAATGGACTGGAAAGACAAAGAGGGACCAACCTGGTGAAGTGGCTGGCTGACTCCGGCAACATGAATAAAGTCTCTCTTCCTCCCTTGTCTCAGCTGTGGAGAAACTGTCCCGGGAGGTCCAGCAGCTCAGAGGATAGGTCCTACTCCCCACCTGTACGGACCAACATCTCGGCTATTAACAGTAAGCATTCTTTTGCTCAAAAGAGAGATGAAATGGCTCATCAACACTGGCAATATGAAGAAAGTATCTTTTTTGTTTCAGCTGTGGAGAAACTGCCAGACATACTAGCCAAGAAACTGCCCTGAGAGCTCCAGTGATTTGAGGGTAAGTTCTGCCTCCCACCTGAATGGACCAGTATCTCAGCTGTCAACAGTAAGTGAGGGGGGAGGAGTAAGCAAGTGGCTGCATGGTGCTGAGTTGCTGGCTGGGGTTAAACCACGACAGCCACCTGCAAGGCACATTCACTGTCTAGCTTGGTAAGAGAGAAGGCAATTTTTTTTGAACACGGGCAGCAGATTGCCAAAGGTAGGAGCAGACAAACCTAGGACTCATGGTCTGCTCTTCATGAGCTAAGATCTCCAAATCCAAGCCTCCAAAGTCTGGGTATCACATAGGATGTGGAAGCTGTTTCCAAGCAGACTTTCTTTATAAACTCAGTAATGCTCTCTAGCAACTAATGCCATATATTCATTATGTGCCCTTAATTATTTTCTTTTATGGAATTTAAACTTATTTCAACATCCTTGTTTCTCTCCTTCCTCCTTAAAGTGAGTGAAACATGGCCTTTTTAACCATTGATTTCCTTTTTGTGTCAACATTGCATACTGCCACTTACTTTTGATCTAGAAAATTTAGACGTCTGGTGGTTTGGTTTTTTTAAGACTCCTATCTACATACCATAATAAGAGGGGACATGAACTTGAAAATCATTAAAAACCCTGACATTCAATAGTATTCAGTTACTTTTTCAGCAAGTTTTTTATCCCATTCTTCATATGCCTCAATATTCTTCCCTCCATAGAAAGCAAGTGTTCTTACTGAGCAGTTCATAATAAACAACGACAAAATTCTTTTCCATGGTAATCTTCAAATTCAATCTAAAATGCAGGAACAGAAACAAATTATTTCAAGTTCTTAGTTTTAGCACTGCTTACTTTTTCATTACTAAATCTCCAGTTACTAAATGCTGTACAGTCATACAGCTGTTAGGTTTTTCTGCGTTAGCCATCAGCCTTCACCAGTTCTGAGTAATGCAAATAACGTGTCCTCTGTCACTTATATCAGAAGAATTTTACACTTCATGACACCACACATTTAAACATCACCAATTAATTTTGATTTTAGTGCAGATTTTGGGAGAAGCAGCATTAGACTGCTCTGCTCTCCTCTCTGTTACTTCTGAAGTTTCTAATCTGTGACTATCTAGTCTTCAATTTTGTGTTCTCAGAGTTTGTTAGGGTCATTTTGGAAAACCAGTCGTATTTTCTTCCTTTCTGGTCATACTGCAAGGAGCATGGCTTTTCTGTTAACTGTGTAGCTGTGTAAAAGCTATTTATCTTCTTTTATTCAGTGGGATAATAAATGCTCTCTCTTCAGGAGAGAGCAAGCAACTGCCTCTTTGCAGCTTGCTCCCTTTTTACCTTTTGGTAAAACATTAAAATGTCTCCTTCTCTATGTTGTTCTTTTTGTTCAGAGCACAAAGACATCTCTCCCTGGCCTGTGCCTGGGAGTGGGCCCTTCACCCTGCCACAAAAATTCTCCTTTCCTCTTTGTGGTGAGTTGCCAGCCGCACTGGTTTTCCTTTGACAACTCACCAAGTCAGCAGAATAGAAAAGCACACAGTACAGCGTGATCTGCAGTGCTGCACCAGTGACAGGGAGGGCAGCCGCTCATGTTTGGCTCCGTGTACCTGCCCGAGTGCTTCGACACCTCCTGAACAGCAGAACAGCAGCAGTGGTGCAGTATCAGCAGTGACAACTTTAAGGTTAGAGAGCCCTTGTCAGGTGGACCAACTCCTTCCCCAGCTAAAAATTCTGAGCTTTACAGAAGCTGGCTTCAAACCAGTTACTAAAGAAAAAGAGAAAAAAAAAAGCAAGCAAGAGAAAAAAACCCAACCTTACATGTTAAGAGTGTACAACAGAGGCTGATGTAAGAAAAGGCCCAGAAGACAGTAAAATAGACAAGAAAATAGAACTAAGATATAGTAATGTTTCATTTTATTTGATAGAAAGTTGCTTCAAAAATATGATTAACTATATACATTCTTATATGCTGTACATACAATTACATATATAAAATGTACATAATAGCACACATCCTTCTGTTACATTTTATAGATGGTAGTTAATAACATGAGCTAGAACTTACATCATATTTCATACCCGCTTTCATCCTGGTCCTACAAGGAAGTGATAGACAGGAGAGATGAAAAAGTCTGGCAGATCACAGTCCACACAAAAGTCTTCTCCACAGTGCATTTTGTTAGTGCATTGTTCTAGTACAGTCAGGTTTGCAGCACTTCCCTTTAGAGGTATTTGGCTGCTAACCTTATCTTCAGATTTTTTGGCCAGCATTCACCCTAATACTATTTCTAATTTATTTCTGTAACTCAGATCTCCTCAGTTATAGAAATCCTCCTCAAATCAAGCTAGATCTCTTCAACTTTATGTTGTTGGGTTTTTTTTCATCTTGATTTCTTGGTTGCTTGTTTGCAATGTATGAAATAGATTTAACTATTAGTACTCTCTGTTCTGGGAGAAGTACACTCAAGCATGAAAGATATAATCCAAGCGTTCTCTCTTGTCCATGCTGCCGGCACACTATAAACCTGAAACCAGTCAGCGAGGAACAAAAATGTACCTTCCCTCCTCCTCCTCTGGCAATTACAGGGTGTGTGACTGCCAGCTGCTCCCTGGGACAAGTGGTGTCAGATCCCAAGAGGAACTGCCCAGTTACTGGGATTTTTCTGGTCCCAGTCCCATGAGGAACGCTCTGCCTGTTCACCCTCTCCTTCAGCAAGAGGTAGCATACCAACATCAAAACACAGGGAGCGGAGGCTGGCAACTCTGCCCTTTACCAGCCGCTTCCAAGAGATTGTCCTCCATTTCCCAGCTAGAGGGATCAGGCACCCTCGTCCTATGGGCCTGATGTTCAGGGAAGAAGAGAGAGCAGGAGCTGCCAAAGTCGCAGAGTACCAGCAGCAGAAGGCCTCTGAGAGAAGCCGCCGCCTCCATAACCAAACAGGCTATGCTGGAGGACTGTTCCCTGAGCTAAGGGGGAATGCGGCTTCCTTCATGGCCTTTCCAACTTTCAGAGGTTAAAAACGAGCTGCTTCTTTCCTGCAGACATCTTGAGAGCTGCAGTTTCATTGCCCTAAGAATGTTTTCATCTTTCCAAGTCAACAGCATCCTTAAATATCTATTTTATTTTTTCATATCTGCTCATGTGGCCCTGTGCTTTCTAACCCTGTGCTGGCCATAGTCTTCATTTCAATAGGAAACTTTTCTATTCTCTTTTCAGGCCTCTATATCTTTTGTGTATTAATATGCAATAGCTTTCTCTGATCAGTAAAGCAGTTTTCCATCAGCTGTCAAGGTGAAAGCAAGGGGATTAAGGTTCCTCTTATACGTTCTTTTGGTATTGTTTTTTTCTAACTAAGGGGAACTCTACTTATATTCTTCAGAACAAGTTTATATTTTTTGAATTACTGCATAACATGCAAATATTTAATAATATCTTAAAGCCAAAGATATTAATATACCTCCATTTTTTTTTCTAGGTTGTGGGATTTTCATTTGTTTGAGAAAAATGGTTCTTGGGCTTCTATTCTGCTTGCAGTATCTCTGTCCACTGTTGCTAGGCCCATTTAGATATTATTTCTTTTTTATTTTATACTGCTCGTTAATCTCTGTTGAGAATCTGAACTGGTATGAAATACCTTCTGTTATTCTTTGTCTGAATTCCTGAGATCCTGTGCGCAACCCTGGTTGGGAGAGGGTGCTGGTGAGGTCCTGGCAAGATGAGACTCCACCGTAGAAGAAGTGGGCTTGAAACGCTCCTGCTGACCTTGTGGGGTGGGCGGTGGAGAGGTCGGACGGCTGTCCCTGTGCTGAATCTGTGCATTAGCAGCCTGTGGATCCTCATCCTGCTGGTCTTGAGTACTGGGAGGAACAGCCGAAGAGAGGACGCCCTGAAGAGCAGCTGCAGAACCACTGTTGAGACAATTTATATCAAAGCTTGAGATACTAACATTAAATGTGCAATTAGTACTGTTCTTCGTTTCCGAGCAGCAGTTTGTTTATTAGCTAGTTAACTAGTTTTCTTCACTGACATATTCCCCTTCACCTCAGCTTTATGGATCTGAGATGGTGACTTGTCTGTCTCATTGGATTTGACTCTGAATTCCTTCTCTTGAATCGTAATTGTATTCTGGGGAAAGGCGGAGGAGGTGGGCAACGAAGGAGGAGCAGCAAGGGAGGAGATCAAAACTGCAGTATCACCAGTTTTAAAAGTCAGTAACTTGTGTGTAAGTTGTTACTAAAGGTACTGCACAACAGGATTTTCTCTTGACCTCTCTCTGTACTTCATTGATGGAAGGTGAACTGAAGGAGTAACAGTGAGATTATAAGCACTTTGAAATCCTCATGATTTTCTTACAGAGAAAACTTGTGTTGTCTGAGCTAAAGGCATCATCACCGTTATCTTGCTTACTTACAAGGTGCTTAAATGCTTTTACAGTGAGAAAATTCTGAACAGATGTAAAATGAATCCATTATAAATGCATTCCAATAAGCATCCATTCAAGAAAGACTATGCAGGCAATATATGCAGTGGTTTCAATGGATGTTGGACTGCATTTTACGTAAGCACTTATCAATAATAGACATGAAGACATTTTTAAAATATCAAGTTTAAATTGAAAGGTCTATAGGCAGTATTGAAAAAAAAAAAGCAAATCAGAATTGTTACAGTGCTAGCTCAAGATCCTCATGTCAAGGCTTCAGGGATACTGTGTCTGTACATGAGAAGACTCAGGAATTAGCAAAATTTATGGACTCATCTGATGAAGACAGATTTAAAATATAAAATATTTAAGATTTAATACTTTCAAAGAAGACAGACTCTGTGTTTCCATGCTGTTATTTTTACCATCTGTGTCAAGGACAAGGAAAAATACTACAGTGAATCAACACGCACTGTATGTTACAAATACAGAGGACCTTTGTTTTACGAAGACTTCTCATCTCTAGGAGAAAAGCATTAACATAGTAAACTGTATTTTAGCCAGGCTGATGCATTTGTTTAGTGTTTCCAGATAGGAAAACCTGTGCATGTGGATTCTTTCAATAGATATTATCTGAGTATTTCTCAAGTAGTAATTCATAGACCACTGGTGGTCCGTGCAGTACTACCAGGTGGCTTAGACAGGAATTTTAGTAGCAAAGCACTGCTACTTTTCCAATTGTGTTGTAACATAATCAAATATCTTGGGGTGTTTTTGCTTGTTTGTTTGTTTTTTTTTTTTTTCTGTTATGAAGTGTCTTACAGTTGCAAATGTGGATTTTAGAACATGCATGAGATAACTGAATCAGGAAGAAGTAAAATACTACTTCAGCATGGAAAGTCTAAGTAAGGACAAATCTGTTCTCCCTGTCTCACTGATTTTAATCTCTTATCCTGTTCCTGTTCGTGAGAAGAGGCTGAGAGAGCTGGGGCTGTTTAGCCTCAAGAAGGCTCAAGCAGATCTTATCTATGTGTATTAATATCTGATAGGAGGGTGTAAAGAAGATGGAGCCTCTTCTCAGCTGTGCCCAGTGGCAGAACCAGAGGCAATGGGCAGAAAGTGAAACACAGGAGGTGCAGTCTGAACATCAGGAGACACTTTTTCACTGTAAGGGTGACCAAGCACCAGCACAGCTTGCCCAGAGAGGTGGTGGAGTCTCCATCCTTGGAGATACTCAGCTGAACTGTAACTGGCTCTGAGCAACCTGGTCTAGGTGGCCCTGCTTTGAGCAGCGGGGTTGGACTAGCCAATCTGCAGAGGTGCCTCCCAACCTCAGGTGTTCTGTGATATGTACATCTGGTATATATACTACGCAAACAGCTGACTTCACGGACGGTAGGGGTGAGTTCAGCAATTTTATACTAGTCTTGTTCACAAGGTAAGAATACCCATAATAAGCAAGATGTTATTTAGTAATTCTTCTGCCTCAGTAATTTAGACTCTTCTGGCAGGAAAAGACTGCTAATTTAGCTCTCCTACAGTACTTTTATCAGTAGGTACAAAAGAGGTGTGATTTTCCTTATCTTTACTTGTGGGTTGAGGCACAACAGGTGACGTGAAAAAGGAATTGACTGGTCTCTGGAGAGCCTACAGAGAATAATAAGAAAAGTAAATAATGCAAAATCTAAACCAGACATATTGATCGAAGTAATTCCATATGTTTACTTCTGTATTCTCTTCCTGTAATTTAATAACCTTGTGCTGCTTTGTCTAGAATGAACAACTTTTTTTGTGCTGTAATGTTACAGCAGAAGCTGGACTGCTTCTGTATTACATACTTTTTGTAGAAGGTTACAAAAATATTTACTTACTTGGCAATGCATATATGAACACATATCTTCATGGTAATTTTAAAATTGCTTTTAGATTTTGTTACCACAGGGTAATATATGGAATTACATATTGCAGGCTACAGATTTTTTTTTGAAGACTCACCAAAAGCTATGCTTCTGAAAAGCACCTGAGTTAAGATCTTTGCTTAAAATTGGCTTCTTGGTGCAATTGTTCAGTTTTTGTCCCATCATTCGCCTAATTAAAGCATCATCTGTGTTTGGAAACAACTGTTTCGTGATTCCTGGAAAATAAAGAGACAATATATATGAGGCTTCCAAATCAGGGAAACAACAGATGTGTGATCTAAAATGCATTTCTTGCATCTTTGAAATTTCCAGCTACTTCAGCTTCAGCTCTAGTTACTTGGCTGTCTTTACACACTACTTCATAGATTTTACACGTGCCAGCTCTTGCTTTTCTCTGTGCCTTCGTACTGCTGTGCCTGCTTTTGGCAGACTCAAAAGGAACTCCAGGGCTACCATGGCGTCCTGTAGTGAGTGATTTGTCTTTGCTTGTCCTGTCTCCCTTTGTTCTGCTCTTGATCAGAGAGTCCTTTTCCTACCCTTGTTAGTCCTCATGCCTCTGAATCTCACAGTTTGTGTTCATTGATTTTCATTTGCAGGTGATGCCCCTTTCCCTAAAAATTTCCCTTCTGTTTTGCCTGGCAAACTTTTTTGAATGCAATACTAGCAGGACTCAACATCAGGAATGCGATTCCTGCTCCCCTGTTCTCCATCATCTTCCTTTCTCTTGATTTTTTTACCCCCTTTCATTTCATTTTGAGGTCTTACAGTTTCCATCTTCTTTAAACAATCTGATCTACTAACTCATTTTCTACAGTCCTAGAACTCCCAGGCTTCCTTCTTATTTTTCTTTTTCTCTTGTATAATGTTGACACTTTTCTATTTGAATTCAGGAATGTTCTCATTTCCCTTAGCAGACTTCTTTGACTTCTCTATAGGTTCTCCTTTGTGACTGAATTCTCTGTAGCATGCTGTATTCAATGTCCTCATTATCTTTTCTGCTTCCCTTTTCAGTTTTTCCTAGACCCTTCCCCAGAATCCACCTTTAGAAAAGCCACTAGTAGCTCTTAGAATCATAGAATCATTCAGGTTGGAAAAGACCATTAAGATCATCAAGTCCAACTGTTCTTCTCATTCCATGAAATCTTTTTAATATTTCTCATACATCATTCTGAAATTGTCTCATCTTACTTCCTCTAAATATATTTTCACCATCTTACACACTCATTCCTTTTCTCTCTCTTGACTGTGGACCTTTTTCTCCAGCTAGGTTCTTAAGGAAAAGAGGTTTCTGCAACTGATAAGTTTTGAAACTGCTGGCCAACTTCAACAAAACTGGACCAAGGTACAGGATCTGGAGCTAAGCTAGGAAGGGAACCAAGAGAACTGGGGAAGTACAAGGAAATAGCAATGGCGGAGGGTTTCTAGTACAGGAATTTCAGCTATGTTGTTCAAGTAGTAAGCTATAGGTGTGAATCCAATAAAAATCAGGCTTCACGTGCTACTTCCATCTGAAATGATTCTTCTTCTTATGAGCCAAACATTTTCTGCTTTAAACCTCAGCAGAAAACAAATTTTGTTTGCTTCTCTGATCACTATTCCTGTCTTCTATACTTACTGTCTCATTTTGCCTCCAGCGCTATTTAAAATGTCAGAATTCATAACATTCACTAACTTTAAAATATAGCAGACATAATTTTAAATTTGATCCAAGTGTGTCCTCTCCTTGCCTTCCCTATCCATTATCATCATGCTCCAAGTCTGACTGATGTACATTAACCTTTCAAAGGCTAAAAAAATTTATAATATCACTGTCCCTGAGTAGCCACTTAAATAAAACCCACAAAATTCACACAATAGAAATACTACTACTTAGCATTTCACTGACAGCATTTGTAACAGATGGTTTAAAAAAGAATGTAGCTGAAGAAGGAAAAAGGAAACAGCACATCACCTGAGTAGACCAGCTGTTAAGCATTACAGCCCCTCCCTCAGAGAAAGCCCTCTGTCAAGTCAGTGCCACATTGAGGAATGTTAACAAGCCATCACCTATGATTTCCTGAACTTCGTTCTGATTCATAGCTGGTTTTGCCGCTTTATCCTTTGAAGAGGAGGACTTTGCACCTGTCAGGCTGTGTGTAGCCATGTATTCATGTGTATAAAGTGCTTGCATCAAATCATTTATAAACTTTTGAGGTTTGCTCTTGTTACAAAGTGCAATCTGCCACTTTTCGATCTTGAACTGGAAAACAAAATTGATCATAGGCATAACTATTGCAGTTCTCTAGAAATATTATATAGTATTACCTCTGAAATACCTTTTTAATTTTATTGTTTTAGACCACAATTTCAAAAGTAATCTCTGCAAACTGCGTGCTTGAGATCAACGCTAAACTTGCATACCACTCAACGTTTGGAACTATACACGCAGGTTGATTTTTTTTCAGAAGCAAGTGCAGGGTAGACTAAGGACCACATTCATCCTAGCAAACACTTCACCAAGCGTTCCTTATTACTCACAAGTGGAGACAGGATATGTTCAGATATATCTAAATCCTTCTGCTTGCACTCCATGCAGGCTGGCTGGGGTCCAGTTCTGGTGTGGATTCCATACAGCCACGGCAGCACGGCACTATGCCCAAGCTAATATTCCTGCCTCCGAGCAGACATGCCCTAAGAACTGTGACATCTGGTCCTGGGCTTTAAGACTGACTTCTGCACACAGCAGTGGTACAGCCTCAGTATTTGAACTCTCCTAATGGGCAATTTTGAGTTCCCTCTATTAAGTAAGGCTAGGCTGCTTAGAAAATTAGGTCTTTTTATTTCTTTGGAGATGTTAGGTCAAATTTTGTGTATTGCAATATTCAGTCAAAACATCCTACCTTGATAATTCTTAATAGATTTCTTTAGTTTTTAGGACCCCATGACAACACATGAGAATGATTTCCACCGACTGGCATGACTCAGTGCATAAGAATGTTTAAGTATGCAGAAGCTAGAATTATTCTTTTGGTTGTGTCTTTATTCATGTACAGCCTCTGTGCCTCAGATTTCTCAATTATGCTCTGTTATAACTACAGAGAATAAGGGAACATCTTTACTCAGTATCTATCTATCTATCTATCTATTTCTACTTAACTGCTGACCAGTGTCTGGAACAAGAGCAGAAACATGCCATTCTCCACTTACTTACTTACAGTTTAAACAGACTGCTGGTATTGTTCTTAGATTATTGCTGAAACACTACCATTCCCCTTTGGCATACAAAATACTAGCTATCCCTGGATCTCAGTAGTTAACCCAGGATCTCAGTATTTTCTTCATGCATCCACATTCTGCCTTTAGTCACAGACGTGCAAAGCCACAAAAATCAAAGCGAGTCTGAGAGCGTAACAGCGCACTGAATTCAGTCTAGTGTTTCTCATGGAAAGAGCCTTCTGCACAAAAGGAGATCATTAGTGACATCATCAACTGAATGATGATAAAATGATTTTTACTGATGCTTATTTTTTATATTTGTTATACTATAAGAGTAAGGTTTGTACTGTATAAAGTTTTAACTTTTATGCCTGAAATTGCTTTTTAACTGACCTGTTTTTCAGTCTGTTTCTCCTCATCTTCCACATTCAAAGTTATTGGTGAGCTGGAGTTACTATGCAGAGCTGCATATGAATCTGCTAATGGATTGCTTGATGCTTTCCAAACAGCATGTGAATGCAGACTGGACATAGATGATGTCACTCCCCCTTTGAGCAGTGCTTCAGCCATCCCTACCAGTTCCTCAAAATGGGTGACTGCCTGTGGCAACACTGAAATCAAATGGAAAGAGGGGTAAAATAGTAATTGCAGCTCACAGACTCCAATTACATAAGCATATGTTTTTGCAGTTAGATTCCTTTCATAATGCAAAAGAGTCAAAACAGCCAACAAAGATGCTTTAACATACTTTAACATACTATTCTCTGAAATGTTTTCCTGCCATTCTGCTGTCCCCACCCATTAAGATCTGGCCTCTGTTTCTCGAATAGGATAGACCAGTTCTCTGCAAGGCTAACAGGAACCGTTAGTTTACGCCCATCATGGCTATTTCTCTTTTTGCTATCTCAAAATCTCTACAAGTCTGTAAAGCTACTGAATGTGGGCTAAGTAATGTTATGTCTGATTATTTTTTTTTTTGCTTCAAAGAAGTTACATAGACTGCATAGACTTTTTTTCCTCTTTTTTAATCTATAGAGATTATCTTTTAAATAACCTTTTCTTCAAGTAATATTTATTTTCAAGAATAAACTTTTATTGAGTCCATTAAGAAGAATCAATTCAGAGCAAAAAGGATGCAAGGGATGAAGAATCAGCAAGATACAGAACAACTAAATTACAGAAAATACTGTGCAAGACTAATACAAGTGCTTAAGATGCAAGGCAAATTGACCTAAATGTGTAAGAAAAGTTGTCAGACACTAACAAAATGTTTAAAAAAATATCCAAAAAAGGCGGAGATGAATGATTCAAACCAAGATGAATAACATATGGAATGGAATCAGGTGGGCAATGAAACTGATAAGCACTTGCAAAATCATATGACAATAAAGAAAAAAAGATACTAGGCCATCTAGGGATGGTATGATGATGTAGCTGGCAAGGGAAGGAGCAAACCCTCTTTAAACCTGAGTCATTCACTAGTGTTCTGAAGTTTTGGATTCAGTCTTGGCTGCCCCAGAGTAAGGGACAGGGACAAGTAAGAAGGGCTTCAGAGATGATCCCTAAGCAATGAAGGATTTATTTATAAAAGAATAAAATGGTTCATCTCTGGGAAAGGACTAAATTTGTTGCATGTGGAACTAACGCAGATTATCAATAATGAGGAATTTCCAAAGTAATTAGAAATGAAATCATTTCAGAATAAATAAAATTTCCCTAGATCAAGAAAGACTGCTAATAAATAAGGTTAGTTGGACTGGTCAGTGTAGTGTTTGAGCTGAGCTCATGGTTATACACAGCATACAGAAAGGTTCTCTTGGGAACAACTGACAGGACTTAGACAGATTTTTCCATTTCTAACTCTATGATTGCATGGCCTTCATATAAAACAGTTTTTTGTAAGTGCTGCTGGAATTAAATGTTGCCATGTATCAAAGACTTTGATGCTAATGGTAGGCCTTGATCGTGTCAGGTGCTTGAGCATCCATAATTCCCATCCAAATGGCCTCTTATAAATCAAGCTTTCCATGGCCTTCAGGTTTTCCTCTTCATCAAAATATTTCCCCTGACTTTACCTTGAAGCATCACCAGGGACTGCCTTAGGCGGCAGTTTTCTCTCATGGTGTCTGTCAGCTTCCTCTTCAGACTTTTTATTTTGGCACACAGTTCTACCTTGGATAGTTGAAATAAAGGCTCTTCATCATCACTGCTGCTTTCACTGTACAGAAAGTTGCTACCTGAATATGGTTCTCTCTGAAAAAAAAAAACAAACCATGCTATCTAGAGCAACAACAACATAAAGCATTAAAACTAACATTAAAATACCTGGCTAAATCAGAATATTCTATTTGTACATAGAATGTATAAACATACTCAGTGCATTTTAAGAATAGTTGTTACTGAACATAGCTATTACCATGCCTATTAAAACTAAAACTGAAATGTCAGTATAATACGTAACTGTTAGGTACTTCTCTCTCTCTCCTCCGTTCACCAGTTTCCCAAGGTAGTGTCTTTTAGAACAGTTAACTTCACTAAAACAAAAGTCTTACACCCTCTTAAACAAATACATTTCAGTTTACTTTTGCTTAATACATTAAAATTGCTGAAGCTTAGATGTTTACCTGTTTGTTAATTAAAGATGTTTCAAGTTGACTCAGGATATTGGCAGGAGCAGATGCCTGCAATGATTTCTTTCTTTTTATATGCTTCATCATTTTCCCCTGAAAACAAGAGCATAGTAGTACCTTTGCATTCCTATAGAGCTTCCATTACAGTATCTCATAGTATACCATAAACACTTATTCACTGTGCACTTGACATTCTTGGTTAGTGTTTTTGAAAAATATGTTTGTAACTGTTTGTTGAGATTTATGTTTCCTTTCCCT